CCCTCAGTCAACTCTGCTGCGTTTCTTATTCTGAAAGGCCCATATTCAGGAACTGTTCCTGCACTGCAGCACCTCACCTGGCAGATCCCTCCTCCCAGAGTACAACTTGCCCAACCGTTTCTCACAGCTCTCGGCTGGCACGTGGCGCATCTCTCAATCACACAGTGTCTCTGGGGCCTCTTTGCTCATGCTGCGTGCCAAGGGCTCTTTATCGAACTCCTCCCAACAACAATTACAGACTGATCTGGTCCTCTTGGGGGTGGGTTCAGGGATCTGCTTAGAGATTCTGCCACAAGTGCAGAAACTTGCAAAGTTCTAGTTTACCTCTGACACAGCCTAGAGCCTAAACACAACACGAGCACAAAGAGATTTGAGAGTGAATGCTTAAGCTGTGAAGACAAACCTCCCCAAAACAGGCACTCTCAGTTTGAAAGATCCCATCACACAGTCACCATGTCCCGACAAGGTCCCTTTGCCCCCCGACCTTAGAAGACGTACCTTGGTGTAAGAGTCAGCATCATGACCCCGATGTAACGGCGCTTTGTCTCGGCATTGCCAAACCAAGAGCCTGTCAAAGGAAAGGACGTCAAACGACAAGGCTGGAAACAGGCACGCACTCAGAACAGCGCTGGGCTGAGCCAGACGAGTCACAAAGCCCACACACCTAAGGCGGACATCGTGCAGAGGGAGTCACCCTGATTCCCTGCCAACAGCTTATTTAAGTTCCATTTACCAGTTACAGCTTCACAGTTATTGCATACTTCGTCTTCCTGGTTCGACTTGCCATTTTTTTGACTGAGAATATCACGCCACGGTGTCAGCGTGAGAACCAGATAGCAAGACCCTGCATTAACTCAATTATCACAAACATAAAGGAACAAAAAGGGACAATGTTCTACATGACTAAATTCAGTACCTGTCCTCTACAATACAGACGAATCCTGCACCCGCATTTCCATCAGCACACACAAGGCTAAGTGGCCCCCAGCGTCCAGGTCATCCTTTCCCTTTCTGAACACCAACGAACGGTCCACTGATTTTCCCATATGAAAAGTAGCAATGGACAAAAAACCCCAAAATAATCCTCACCTACTTCCGGGGCCTTAAGTGCAAGCTACCTGGGCTGCTTTAAGTCTTTATCTGCAGCGGATGCAGCCGCATCCTCCCTGCTCTGTGTCAGGCCGCTGGGGGCAGGGAGTAGCAGCACAGCTTTCCCACAGCAGAGGGGAGTTTCATGCCAGATGGGAGAATCTTCTTACCCCCAAAGACTCCTTCTCCCACCCTGCTTGCCCCTCTCCCAGAAGACGGGCCCAGAGCCCAGCTGTGCCAGAGCTCCCCTCTTTCGACCTCCTCCTCCAGGCCTCCTTCCCCCGGCACCAAGCAGGGAGGCACCCAACTCACTTTTGCGCTGCTCCTCCTTTTGCAGGAACTTCCGCAGCCGGTCCGAGGGGATGGCAAAAGAGATGCCCGATGTCACCTTCATGGTGTTCACCCCGATCACTTCGCCATCCTGCAGGGGAAAGGGCACTGTGCTATTCAGCCTGTATTGCTGGGGAGAGGAGGGGAGCCACCCTGCAAGCCTGGGGTCCTGCCTGTGCGCCCACCCCTTCCCAGCCTGCTCCCCCGGCAGCCTGCCTGACCCCTGGGCAGGGACCAGTCCCATGGGCTGCAGCCCACGCAGCCCCTCCCTCTGCCCTGCCGGCATCAGCCAAGCCAGCCTCACCAGAGCAGGGCTCGGCTCCGCCACACCAGGGTCCCATCGGCTCAGGCTCCCCAAAAAGGACACTGCCCAGGGCTCCCACACTGGGCTGACCCCCTGCTGCTCCTTGCAAGGAGCCTGGAGAACGCACAGTCCCTCCCTCCCAGCAGGCAGCCGTAGCACCCGCCAGCGCTCCCACCGAGGGGGACCTCA